CAGTATCCGCCCATCGTTCTATAGCTGTCTTGACGTTAAACGGTCGATTTCTGGGAAATCACTTATATAGTGACCGAACCGAACCTGCTGTTTCACTTTTATTTTCACGTTCGTGTCAGCATCACTGATTCGCCAATGAGAGAACACGCCCCGTCTCTGTACCATTTATGGTGGAAAAGAATTATCGCACAGGAGGGGCCTATGGGGGGTTGCAAGCCTTTTGCTCCAGTTGTGTTGAGACTACTACAGCAGAGACCAAGCTAACACGACATTTTTACGTCGTCTAACGATAGGTAAGGTAATAAATGGTTTGATTCAAAATCATTACATTATTAAAAACTATAAATATAGCTTACTTTTCAATGTTAAATCACTTTTAAGCTAAGTGTCCATTTATCATCAACCCAACTGCACGCTCGCACAACCCTGAGACTAACGAAGCACATCTATTTATCAATTTCATAATGATTAATGACCTTTAGATTTGAGGTCAAATATAGTCTGTACCTATTTTAGAAACTTTTGACATTTGACACAACGTTTAAACATGTTGTTACACGCTGTAAGATCGTCTCTGCTTGTTTCGCAGTCATGGCGTGTGGCAGGCTCATGTCTGCTCCGGTGTGTCTCATTGAAAACGATGAAAAAGGGCAGCTGCGTGTGAGAAAAGAGGCCAAAGACATTCTGGATGGGATCAATGAGCCGGTGGTGGTGGTGTCTGTGGTGGGACTCTACCGTACGGGGAAGTCTTACCTTATGAACCGCCTGGCAGGACAACAGTCCGGTGAGAGAAAATGCTTGAAGTCTTTCTCATGTGCAGTGCATGCTGATATGATAATGAGGACAGAACAAATGAGTGTGTCTGTATCTGAAAACACTAACTGCGTTAAAATGAGAGCATTTTATGAAAAAATAAGTGTAATAAAACAAAATAAAGCAATATAGCAAATAGAGCAATATAAAAATAAAACAATAAAATAAGAGTAATGGGTGAATGATTGTGTGTGTGTATGTCTAGATGTGCTACTTTCCTGCTCTTTATACAGACTTAACTTGAATACACCTCTCCGATGATTTATGTTTGAAATATCTGAATACATTTTTTTCAAATACCCTCACTTTAATCTGCAAAAAAGGAGATTTATGGAGATGAATGTACTAGACACTCTTTTTTAAAAAATATTTCATAAAGGTCATTACATTCCAAGTCTTCTTAAGGCACAGTTTGATAGCTTAGGGTCATAAATAGACAAACGTGGTTATAATATACAATATAATATAGTTTTGTCTTTTTTTTTTCTACATTGCATATGCATTTAAATGTAACATGCATTTGTCATCTTGGATAATTCTATGTCATTGTGACTGTCTCAGGCTTTGCTCTCGGCAGCACTATTGAATCAAAGACCAAAGGCATCTGGATGTGGTGTGTCCCTCACCCCTATAAAGAAGGACACACTCTGGTGCTGCTGGACACAGAGGGACTTGGTGACGTAAGGAAGGTAGGGGAGGAAGACATCAGCAGTGATGTTTTCATAGCAAATGCCTCCATTGCAACAAAAATAAACATTAATTTCAGCATAAGTAACTTATATTTGTCCACTTACTGTAGCTGCCAGTCTCTTAATATTTCAGGGGGATGAGAAACATGACACATGGATCTTCTGTCTGGCTGTTCTTCTCAGCAGCAGTCTAGTGTACAACAGCTTAGGGGTCATTGACAACACAGCACTGGAAAAGCTGCAGTATCCTTCTCGCACTATAAACACAAAACATGCACATCCAGTGCAACAGATTGAAAACAATCTCTCATAGCACCAGTGTTATTCCTCCTGAACTGCGCTGAATTTAGCTATGTTACTGAGCTGACGGAGAACATTCGTGTGAAGGCAGAAGTGAGTCAAGACGAGGACAAGTCAGCAGATTTCATGTGTGTTTTTCCATCATTTGTCTGGGCTGTTCGTGACTTCACTCTGGAACTGAAAATAGGAAACGAGCCAATAACATCAGACGAGTATCTGGAGAGTGCACTGACACTCAAATCAGGTGAGGCGTTACACATACACAGTAAACGCAATATACACTATCCATTCATTACCTTCAGCTGTGCCATATTAGTGCACAAAATTAAATTAAAATCTCAAAAACCCCGCCCCCCGGCTGAGAACCAGTTTTAGCAGATGCTAAAGAACATAGGAGAATTAGCTAGTCTATGCTGTTCTATTCAGCAAGGAATAGTAATTGTTTTAAATATAATACAAATTATTACTGCTTGTTTGGAATGTTATTTCTTATTTTAGGCTGTTCGCCTCAGACTGAGCAGTATAACCTGCCCCGTCGCTGTCTGCGCCATTTCTTTGCGGTGAGGAAGTGCTTTGTCTTGCCTCGGCCTGCTAGTCCACAAAACATGAGAAGAATGGAAGAGCTGACTGAGAAAGATCTGGATTCAGAGTTCCTTGAGCAGGCAAACACCTTCTGCCATTACATTTTTGACAGTGCAGATCCAAAAACCGTCAGCGGAGGCCGTGTAATTACTGGAACAGGTGTGTACTTTCATAGAAGCCCTTGTAGAAAACATGTTGAAGTGAATCTTCTAATCTCTTTTTAGACACAGGACATCCATCAATCTAAATTTTAGCGATGCACAATATATTGGTTTCTAGCTGTTTTTTTTTGTTTTTTTTATTGGTTAGTATTATCGACTTTCTAAAGGTGCTGTAAGTGATATCTGCTCCACTAGCAGCAAATATGACACTAATGATGTTTTCAATCCAAACACATAGTACTGCTCCAAACTCTTTTCTTACATTTTGGGTGTTATTCCAAAATCGCTTACATAATCTGTGTTTCTTCACAGCTCTGGGTAATCTCGCTGAGGTTTATGTAGAGGCGATCCGCAGCGGGAAGATTCCTTGTCTGGAGAACGCAGTGGTGTCTCTGGCTAAGATCCAGAACGTCCGTGCAGTGGAGGAGGCCCTGCAGCTCTACATGATCGAGATGCTCAGCATGGCTCAGCTTCCTATGCGCCCAGAAGAACTGTCTGACATCCACAAAATTGCAGAGAAGAAAGCAGTTGAAGTTTTCATCTCCATGTCCTTCAATGACAATGACCAGATCTACCAACAAGAGCTCATGGTAAAGTACCTGCTGACACAAAAAGCTCAAATAAACAGTATGTCTATGCAAACGTAGAGTACAAATTTAACAGTTCATCACGTTTTCTCGGTTTCTTTCATTTGTTTTAGGCGAAAATTTATGATGAATATCAGCAGATGTGCCAGCAGAATCAGGAAGAATCTATCAAGCAGTGTAAAGCTGTTCTGCGTGAGGTGTTTGATACACTGGAAAAAGGTGTTTTTGATGGATCATACCTGAGATCTGGAGGATACCGACAGTACAGAGACATGCTCAGACATCTGACCAATGACTACAGAGCAAGAACACACTCACAAATAATGGTACAGTTCACACATGCATGCTTTGCTTTAGATCAGTGATGGGCAAACTTGGCCCTTCCAGGCCACTTTCCTGCAGAGATTTGATCCAACCCTGATAAAACTCACCTGCCTGTAGCCTTCTAGTAGTCTTGAAGACAATGATTAGCTGGTTCATTCATGTTTGATTAGGGTTGGAGCTAAACTCTGAAGGAAAGTGGCCTGGAAGGGCCAAGTTTGCCCACCCCTGCTTTAGATGGTAACAACAGCACTGATCAACATCTTTAATGCTGATAAAGAGTAAAAATAACATGCAGTCATGAAACAAAGATTTAGAATTGTTCATTCCATTGGGTCCGATAAAGACTTATAAAGGAGCTCTTATTTAAGCTCTTTTTTTAAAACTCCTACAGCACTACTCTAGTGATCACAGCTGTCCAAGAATAAATACATAAATATATACAAAAAAAAAAACACAGAAATGTTGTCCCTATGCCTAGAGTGCCATATTACGCGTCTTCTGAAGCCATACAAAATCTCTTAGTAGTTCAATGAAAATCTCAAAAAAAGGTGTCATGTGGCTTTAGAAGACTTGAAATATAACACGCAAGTTGTAAAGATGTATAGATCAGTGGTATTTTAGTATTATTTTAATGGTATTGTAGTATTTATTAATATTTTGAATTAATGTTTTGTTTTTTTATATTTTCACTTTTCATTTAAATTTTACAGTACACTGCAAAAAAATGAAAAATAAGCAAAATGACATAAGATAATTTGTCTTATTTCCAGGGGGAAAACTAAATTAAGTGCATTTTGCTTAAGACGAGTAAAATTATCTGCCAGTGGAGTAAGTCAAATATTCGTAAAACAAGAGTATTTTACTTACCCCACTGGCAGATAATTTTAGTCGTTTTAAGCAAAATGCACTTTAGTTTTTTTTCCCCTGGAAATAAGACAAATTATCTTATGTCATTTTGTTTATCTAGTAAATGCATCTTAATTTAAGAATTTTTAGATATTTTGATTGGAAACAAGACAAAAATACTAAGTAAGATACGCCTTTTTTTGCAGTGTAAGCTTTAGTCAATTTTTAAAATATTTCAAATTGCTTTAGTTTTTCTTCAGCATATTTCAGTTTGTTGCCAAAGCAACCTTTTTTTTTTTTTTTTCATCTAATATGTATATTTCTTTTCATTTAACAAACTATTTTTAATAGTTTTAGTAGCAAAAACAACACTTATGGATTACTTGCAGCACATTTTAAATGATACCAGTCTTTTTTCTACAGAGTGAAGAAGTGTTGAGCAAGTTTCTGAAAGAAAAGGAAGATATTGGAAATATGATTCTACAAGCTGACCAATCTCTCAGTGAAGCGGATCAGGAAAAAGAGGGTACAGTTCAAATCAGCTGCACACTTCTCTATCATTCAACCATCAATCAAGGCTCTCAGTGATACACAAGACCGTACAATGACTACAAAGAACTGTAATTGACGAACTCAGCAATTGATTTTACATCAGAATTAGTTCATTATACTGTCTCCCTTTCTTTATACAGTGCAGAGGTTGAAGAATGAGATTCTAGAGCAGCGGCAAAGAGGTCTAGAGGAACAGAACCGGTTACAGAAGCGGGCGTTTAAAGACATGCAGAGAACCCATAAGGAACATGTGAATCAGATCATTCGTCAGATGGAAAGAGAGCAGGAGAGAATGAGGAGAGACAATGAACGAGTCCTGGAAGCCAAACTAAGAGTAAGAACAGGACACTTTCTTTCAAAACATGTACTTTGCTGTGTTACAGAGAAGTCACCTTCAAAGGTCAAAGTCATGGTTAGCAATTCTTTCACTTGTGGCTGTTTTGTGTTGTATTGCAGGAGAAGGATGCTCTTCTACAGAAGGGTTTACAGGAGCAAGCCTCCCAGATGCAGAGGCAGATTGACCGCTTAAGATCAGAAATGCATAAAGAAGAGAAGTCAAAACCATCCACAGTCAGCCGGATTATGGATGGTATCGGTGCCACGGCAGAATTGATCTTGCCAGGCTTTGTTAGCCGTGGTCTGTCTGCAGTCTTGAAATGGTTCAAATAAGAGCAGTTTTTGCACTGAGTGAGTACTGTATGCTTCTCTCACACATGCCATTCACTCTAAAGGGCTGTTCACAATTAGTGTCCACACCAACGGCCAATCATCTGCCGTTTTATATGCTCAAGCTCTTTAATTTCAGGTGGATTCTAATTGGCTGTCAATCACTCATCAGCTGGAAAAAAAAAATGTTCTGAAAGTGCCACTGTCATGCAATAGATGTGTGGATTTCGCAATTTAAATTTTAAAATTCTGAAAGATTTTTAAAACTTAATCATTATAGTTATCATCCTTGGTGTGAGCAGGTGATCCTGGTGTAAAAACACTTTAAAAAGCTGTCAAAATGCTAGTATTTATGTCTTGGGGAAAAAAATACCACAAAAAAGCCCAGAAAGATTAGAAATGTATCATTCCCTCTGTACTTTGTTAAAAGTAACCACTTGATATCATGGATCCACAGATCAGTTTACAGAAGAGATTTTGTGATGCAGTTAAAGCAGTTGATCTCATAGAGATTCTGCTGATCGTCCTTTTATTTAAGAGATCTGAAGACTACATAAAATATCCTATATATATACTGCATTGCAATAACAAGCTCACACACTCAGTGCGGTCATGTATGTAATGGCCCGCCTTAAAGTTCAGAGGCGGACATCAGCCTCCTGAGTGTGTCTGATGACTCTGCTCGAATCCAGGGCTCGGTAGTGGCTGTATCAATAGAGCTGGGCCTGCCAGGAGACTGCAGGGTAAAATGCTCATCACCACCATTTGCTTCATCGTCATCATCAGAGCAGTCTCCTAAACACATAATTGAAACAAGTTGTGCATCTCCAGAATCATAAAACATACATCGAGACAAACACACACACACACCTGCTGTGGTAGAAAGTGAAATTGTATAACACAATGAAAATAAACATCATTGTGTGAAATGTTGATAAAGTGTGTTCATATTTTTCTTTAAAATAAATGTCACTTGGTTTGATGTTTTCTTACAAAATGGAAAGACATTAATACATGTTTAAGTTTCCCTAGTGTCCAAACTAATTTTGGGGCCACTGTATATAATACAGTAATTTTTTTTGGTTACACTCATCAAGCAGTTAAAGAAATGTGATCCCACCAATAAATTCACTTTCTGACAGAAGCACAGATCCACGTCCCGCCTCAACATCCCTGTTCCTCTGTGTGATAGAAACACAGAACTGTCATGTTAACAACTGTCATGTTAAACATCATTCAGTACTGATGGAGCTGCTTCTAGTACTGCAGAACACAACGGAAATAACAAGCACAGGAAATAACAAGCACGCCTTACATTCATAGTGAGAGGGGAAAACTTACAGACTGCCGTGTTCTAGGAAGAGGCATAAAGGCATCTGGAAAAATGACAAAAAAAAAAAAAGGTGTCAGTTCTACACAAAAGATGGATTTACATAAGACCAAACATTAATTAAGCTCTCATTTCAAAGTCACAATATTTATTTTTTTGCTGACTACAAATGACTTTAGTATGATTGGCCACAAGGAACTACAAACACTTGTAAACTAATATTTATAATCCCCATAGCTCAGATTAATATTGGTATTAGCTAGTCAGTTCTTACCCCTGTACATGATGTCATCGGCTCCCTTTGAGCTGATTGGCTCAGTGCCACGGGCGGAGGGGCCTCGCACAGGCATACGCAAACGAGCCATGTCAAACACATCCGTCCTGTGCCTGCAAACACACACATAAAGTGCTATATTGTAAAAACAGTCATAGTTAAAGACATTGTTAGGCATGCTGGAGTGCCTGCAACTGCATTAGTTATGATTATTCACAATATTGTTAAAGTGTAGTAAAGTGTTATTTTATTAAGAAAATGTAACCTTTTTCTACAGGATATAGTGTATGTTATGTTATATATGAGTGCTGCACATACAGTAGAGAACAATTGTTTCCCTGGTATATTGATGTAGCTATACTGACCAATCAGTATGTATAGCTGAAAGATTTTTGTATTTTTTTTGTGAATATGATACATTTAGATAACAACCCCCCCAGCTTTTACTAATCTGAACAATGCCTGAAACTTCTTATGAGCACTTCCTGTGTTTATTTGCCTATTTATGATGAATCGCTAGTTGTATACCTCAATTGTAAGTGACTTTGGATAAAAGCATCTGCTAAATAAATGTAAACGTAACCTGAAATCCAAACAAACTGAATGAAAACCTTACTTTGGCCAAGACCAGAATACATCAACTAAAAGTGAAAATCATGTAGCCTACTTTTCTCAACTAAGATGCCATTTAGGTTACTTTTTATTTATATATGCATATCTTTCAGATCAATTCTGTACTCAATGCGATCAAGGATTTCATTACACATTTGTCATGTAAAACAAAACCTATAAACATCACATTTTTATTATTTAGATTCCTTTTAGGATGTATCCATCGGGAATATTGCTGTAGAGATAATTCCAAAGCATAATTTCCTTCAAGACAGCAAAATTATAAACCATTAGTTTGAGAGATCACAGACGATTACTGATCCTCATTAACTGGAAAGAGTTTTCCAGTGATGTGAAGTCTATAAAAAACAGCTCATTTAGCGAAATCAGATTAAACCAGCCAAGACCAGGAAAGGCTGATGCTTACGCCCCTGACAGTACAACTGTTTTGACCTGCTGTATTCATGTACATGTTGACTAACAGGTCAGGCTAATTATTAACACATCCCTTTACCGATGGACTTAAACATTACATTTAAACATCATCAAAATAACTGTACAGTACCTGTCTGTGAAAGGGGAGGGAAAATGCTCCCACTCCGTCTGCAAGAGCTGCTCCTCCAGACGCCGCTGTTCACTGCGCAGATGTCTTCTTAACGCACACAGCTCGTTAACAACCTCACTTCTGTCCTCTGAAGAAAACAAATATATTAAACCCTCCAAAAATATGTGCTTATGTGCTTAACTTAAGACCAAAACTTAACTAAAGACCAGAACTAAAGAAAAAAATGCTTTAGGGACCAAATACTCATAATGTTAGTTAAACCTGAAATCACCCAAATTTAGGGGACCTCTGATAATTAATAATGGCTTAATAATTTTTAATTCAAATCTGAAAATTGCAAATCATTTCTGTAAAGGTCAGGTTTAGGGTGTAGCAAATATTATTAGATAATATATAAACAAAAACAGCCAATAGGACATCTCCCTCATGATACAGTATGTGTGTATATGTATGGGTGTTTACTCTCTGTTCTCTGGTTGTTTCTGCTTTCTGGAGACGGAGGAGCCCGAAGCGCAGAGAAATCCTGAAAAATACGTAGACATTAGTGAGTGAGAATTGAACAAGGTTGTTTGCAGTTAGCTGAAGTAAGGATCATAGAGTTTTGGTAATTAGACTGAGGGTTTGGTTACAAGCTCTTGAGAAAATATATATTTTATAGTCACTGTTATGTGTTATACACAATTTTATACACACGAAGTGAACATGAGCATTTGCAATGTTTGTTCAAATAAAGGCAGTTTTTGTTACCGTAGCATTTGAAGGGTTGCGGTGTTTATTCTGTAGGGTAGGGATAGGAGGGGATGGTGCACGCTGAACCTAAAAAAAAAAAGATGACAATACTGTCACACACTCACTACATCTAGAGAAATTTTCAGCAAATTTAGCTTAACCTTTTGAGACCCGGCAAAACATTTTAGGAAAAAATTAGTATTTTTTCATGTCATTACATTGTTTAGACCATTAAAAAAATTTTTTTTTAATATTTCATTCATAAGTTATGCTACTTCCTTGGTAGAGGACATCGGAACTCAATTTTTAAAAAGAAAATAAAGTGTTTAAGACATAGCTCAGTCCAGTAAATTTCACTTTCAGACACCTGTTGCAGTCGTATTTGTCTCTCTTGCTCTTCCTGTTTTCTTACAGCTGCTCTCTCTTTCTCTTCTTCTTCTTTTTTCTTTTTCTCTGCATCCCTCCGTCTCTCTTCCACAAGACGAGCAAGTTCTTCATTCTTCAGTTTTTGCTGCAAAAAGATATGGCTACTTAAAGTCAGCGGTGCTGGTCACTGAGATGGTCTGAGGTCATCAGAAGAGCTCACATAATGCACCGGAAAATTAAACACGACAACATGCATTTGATGGCATTTCCTTAAGCACTTAAATTCCCTTTGTTTGGATGGATAATGTGATTTAAAGTGAACAATTATCACATTATTACATTGTGCATCTCTGAAAATAAGACGGGCAGGAGTGCATGTGTGTCTGTCTGACCTCCAACTCTCTGCGTTTTCTGCTCTCCTGCTCCTCTTCATACTCTCTCCTGATTTTCTCTCTCTGTTCTGCCAGTCTTCTGTCCTCGCTCTCCTCTTCTGCCCTCGTCCGCTCTCTCTCCTCAGCCTGCTTCCTTCGCTTTTCTTCTATCTAATGTCACAGACACACACACACACAAAAACACACATGAAAAGATCATTGTTTATATACAGGTACAGTGGAATCCAAAAGTTTTAAAATTGAATCACACTGAAAATCTCTGACACAATATCAATAATTTATAAATATATGTATAAATGTGAAGAGTCTGTGTGTATAGACTACCGCTCATAAGTCTGGTGTTGGTAATATTTTTAATATGTTTTTAAAAGTAGTCACTTAAGCTCACCAAGGCTGCATTTATTTGGTCAAAGATGCAGTAAAAACAGTAATATTGTAAAATATTACAATTTAAAACAACTGTTTTCTACTTTAATGTATTTTACAATGAGGGCACAGCTAAATTTTCAGCATCATTACTCCAGTCTTTAGTGTCACATGATCCTTCAGAAATCATTCTAATAAGCTGATTTGGTGCTCAGGAAACAGTTCTTTTTATTATCAATTTTGAAATTAGTTGTTCTGCCTAATGTCTTTGATGAACAAAACAGCATAGGAGTTCATATTAACAGACTCACTGTCACTTTTGTTCAGTTTAATGCATCTTTGCTGGATAAAATATTTAATAATAATATTTTTTTTTTTTAAATCCTACAAACCCAAAACTTGATCAGTAGTGCATGTGTGTACCTGGTGTCTCAGGTAAGCTTTGTATTGGTCTTGCTCCAGTAGTTGCTGGGGTGACTGGATCTGATTAAACACATTTCCTCTTGCAAACTGTGGAGTGTGTGTCTCAACAAATCCTTCAAATACACACATTCAACTTGAGGATGTAAACAATCACTAAAGACACATTATGCATGTTTGTATGTTAAGTAAAACGTATGTTAGCATGTTACCTGGCCTCTCCGGCCTTTGTGGTGGTGCTGCAGCTGCTACATTCAAAAGATGCATCTGCTTCAGATCAGCTACACACACACACATACACATAATTTCTATAGTCACGTGTTTCATAACTAACAGGCTAACAGGAGATTAAATCATACTAAATAAATCATACTGATTAGATTTCCAGTGCTGTCTCTGAGTGGTGCACCAGCTCCGCCTCTTCCCCAGGGTTCATATGCTCTCATATCGGCTTCAAGTTCAGCTTCCAGTCTATGCTTCTCCTCTCTGTCCACCCTCCTCTGTGCGGCCCGCTCCTCTATCTACTCACAGGGCACACAAACAAACAGCCGAATAAGCTTTCTACTGCTCTTTTTCATGTTGGAAGTTAGAATAAACATATACTGTAAATGCAAACATACTGTTCATGAAGACACACCCACTTTTGACTATGTCATTAAGGACACACCCCTCAGTGAATATGTAATGTCACACCTGCTTTCTGAGCTCCTCTTTATAGCTGAGTCTGTCCGTCTTTGCATGATGTGCAGGAAACGCTAAAAGACCTGAACCCACAACTTCATTCTCACCCACAATCCTCCTGAAACACACAACAAGCACAAATACACCCCAAAAACAAGATGTGTATTAATTGTCTGCTACACGCATATGGTTTAAAAGTGTCTTTGACAGTGAGAAAAAAATAGCTTGGGTTATAAATTCAAAACTAGCCCAATGGTCAATCATAAATAGCCCAAAACTAGTCCAATGACACTATCCCAAATATAAGTATACTCAAAATATGACACTCCCATACCTAAAATACATTATTTACAGTCACAGTTATGTGTCAACATGATACATTTTATGGGAAGAAATATATATGTATTTGCCAATCTTAGGTACAGTCAAAGAGCTACAAAGTTAACAAGATCCAACAATTGCTACTAGACAACGTCATCTGGTGTTACTGCCTGTTTCTAAACACCCACAATTTATGATCAGAAATGTGTCTGGAAAATTGCATTTTTGTGAGTGTTTGTGTCAGTTGCACTCTTACTGTCTGTGAGTGCTTCTGCTGTGTGGACTGAGTGGGTGTGGCTCTCCTGATGATGTTGAAAAAGAAACTCCCATTATTGGGCAATCTGTGGAAACACACACACACACACACAATGATGTCGCACCAGTAGGAATCTTATGATAAATGGATTTAAAAATTGTTTTTCATGCTAAGTAGATTCAACTAGTTTTCAATCAGGATCCAGAATACCCAACACAGTGGCAAAATTATTTACAGCACAAAAGTAAACAAATGTGATTCATAAATATTGATGCACCTACTCTCTGCACCCAATATTTCACTGCACAAAACCATGTTTATCCTCAATGCCAGTAAACTCATATTTAACATAATCTGCTGTGTCATATGTGTGTCTTACAGGCTCTACTGGGACTCTCAGCATCATTATTTGGAGTCTTATAGGTATCTGTAAGGAATGGGAGTTGAGTAGGGACAAAAGGCATCCTACAGAAAAAACAAAAACATGTTTGTGAGCTTGAAGAACAGCATGTGCAAATATGTGGGTTTGCAGTTTGCACTTATGTATATCCATATATACCTGCATGGAGACAGAGAGTCTGTCCTGTATTGCAGAACACCCTCAGGAGGCTCAGCAGTGTCCAGGCGGATGATGTCGTCCCTTGGTTGCTTTCTGTACGCAGACGCCTCACTAACAAAGAGCTGCTTTAAAAGTAAAGGTCAGAAAATCAGCACAAGAATGTCAACAAATATGTGCACACACAAACACACACATTGTTACCTTTTTCTCAGCATCTGTTGAAACTCTCAGGTCCAGTTCCTTCTCCCTAAAGAAAGTTGAATTACAGGGGGTGTTAATGAGAGTGGCATGAACGTTCTGCCCAACGTATCTTTTGTGTTCCACAGAAGAAAGAAAATTGGGTTTGGAACGTCATGAGAGTCAGTAAATTAATTTTCAGAATTTTCATTTTTAGGCAAATTTCTTTTTGGTAAAAAAAAAAAAAATTCTTATGAGGTAACAAACGATTAATTGCGATTAATCACATCCAAAATAAAGGTTTTTGTTTACATATTTGTATGTGTACTGTGTATATTATGTAAATACACCCATATACATTATATATTTTGAAAATATTTACACGTATATATTTATATTCTTATATTTTATATAAAAATATTTAATATATAAACTTAACATATTTTGCTTAAATATATACATGCATGTGTTTGTATTTATATATACTTAATAAATATACACAGTACACACACATACATTATGTACACAAAAACTTTTACTTTTGGATGCAATTAATCGCGATTAATCGTTTGACAGAAATAGAAAAATATAAACCAAATACACCACTCAGACTATTATGCATGAACACACACTAGGGCTGTCCCCCCCAAAAAAAAATCGAATTTCGAATATTCGTCGAATTTTAAATAAAAATACACATTCGAATGCAAAAACGTTGCATTTGAATATTAGGTGTGCGTCAGGCAGCCTTATCAGTGGCACACAAGATGACGATGTGTCATTGCATTTTAATGCTTTTTTTAGCCTATCCCGTTGAACCCACTGGATGCGGCACTGCTCATTCAAAATATTGTGGAAAAAAGAGAACATCAATGCGGAGATGTTGTTGTTTTCGTCAAAACTGAAACCAAACCGTTCACACAGAACGCATATTTATCGCATTTTCTAGAGGGACATCTATCACTGTTGCACTCGCGTCTCGCACATGAGAGCAAAATCTTGTTTAGATGATTTAGAATGTTTAGAAAGCTAGGGCTGCATTCCAGTTCACTTTTTTTATGCACTTCACTCGCTAACTTCCCTCTGTCTCGTTTACTCGGATGTACGTCATTGATGACGTTGCATGACTGCCCACTACTGGCGGAACCCTTGGAATGGGCTGAACTGGAACGTCCTAAGCCCTTGATCCCTTAGAATCAGCTATGGAGTTGGTTTATTGTTTACATTTACATTTAGTCATTTAGCAGACGCTTTTATCCTATTCTATAGGATAGATATATATATATAATATATATATATTTTCTATATTCTGTTATAATCTTTTTTTTAAATTTTTTTTACGTTTCCCCTTACGAATTTGTTTGGTGCAGCATTCTATATGTATAGAGATATGCTTGGGCTGTTATAAATGTAAAAAAAAAAAAATCATTTATATATTATAGTTGTTTGGGGTGGGGATAAATTAAATGCAATCTGCGATGACGTCATAGTCGTGTTGCATTGTGGTGTATAGAGCGGCCTGAAGTGTGCATATGAAGCAGACTCGCTCCCTCTGTCAAAATCGAGGGGTCGAGGGTATGTCCATGTAAACTTCCCTCGTCCACTTGACGAAGTGGAACTAACTTCAAAATGGCGGCGGGGATTCCCCCGAGGGGAAGTGCTCTTTGTGATTGGTTTTCCATCCTTTCTATTAAACTATACATACATACATGATGCTGTTTTGTTTCAAATTTTTTAAGCAACGTAATTAATATTATATGGTTTATAAACATTATTTTAAACACTATGCACTTTTTTCAAAGACAGTTCTGTTATTTTATTGCTTTGAAGAAACGTGCATTAGTAATATTTTGCTCGATGCGCCCTCTTGTGGCCTCAGGAGAGAAGCCAAAAGTTTTTTTCCCCCTAACAGCCTTTTTGAGTATTTGAATATTGATCATATTTTAGTACAAAATTCGAATTTAGTTTTTCAGCCATTTTGACAGCCCTAACACACACCTCCTCCTGTGACTCTGTTTCTCTGCGATTTGTTCCTGTAGTTCATGTCTATAACGCTCCTTTTTCCTCTGCAGTGTGCCCTCCAGACCCACTGCACCTGTCAAACAAAATCAGCCATGTCAGAAGCCTGAGCCTTAAAATCAGTTCAATGGATGAATATCCTGTCATCATTTACATTTCCCAAACTGTATGACTTTCTTTCTTCCGCAGAACAAAAAAGAAAGATTTGGAGGACATTGGGAACCTACTTTTTTGGAAACTATTTTCGTGCCCACTGACTTCCATTGTATGGAAAAAACACTGTTCAGCACAGTTTTGGAATGACAGTTTGTGATGGTGAATAAATGATGACAGAATTTTCATTTTTGGGTGAAGTATTCCTTTAAAATCAAATCAGAATTATACTCCATCGAATGAAGCAATGAAACATCACTTCTCCAGTTATTAAACCAATCGGAGCAGTAAAAAGGACCTCTAACCAATCAGAATCATGATACTAAACTCATACCTATTAAAAGTCTTGTGGTGCAAACTGTGTCCCGACTGGCCACAGATACAGATCTTTCATTGGCTTGGGTCGCAACGGATGTCGACATTCTACGACAGTGAAGTGAACAACAGTGAAGGAGAAGAGATGAATGTAGATGAAATCTATCCTGCCATTTAAAACTGCCAGTTTGCCAATACTGTAAATCTAATCAGTGTATGCATCTTTTACCTGTTTCTGTGCTGTAGTTTGCTTGTTTGATGTCCTGTCTCTGTGAACAATTCCCCTCTGCTTATGAGAAAGAGAGACACAGAGATAAAGATGATACTGTTAATATATATGCATAAATTATATAAATAATTATATATGTGAATAAAAAATTCAGAATCAGCCCATAGAGAATACAATGGGTTCAAGAGTCACCAGTTGTAAACATCTTTCCCTCTGTCTCTGTCCTCACCTGTTTGTTGTCCTGGTGTCTCTCTCTCTCTGATGTCGCCTCCCTTGCAAAAGCATGAGTTCTTCATCACTGCAGTCTTCCTCAGAGCTACACACACCCCATCCCAGCCCACACACCTCTGTAAGGGTGGCCACATCCCTCACACGGACCGTCTAAAAAAGTGAGCGGGAGAGATTTGCCCTTATAAAACAGTACTTTGGCAGAACCATGGTACGGTAATAATATCAGAGAGTAATATCATGGTAATGTATGGTACACTAGCAGGTGGCTTTTCTAATGAAGTAGTTCAGAAGAAGTTGGAGGGGATGGTGGGGAGTTGGGTAGCGTCAAAAACGCCATCGTACCATGTAGTAAAACATGGTAATACAATAGTAATTTTTAGTAAGCGTAACAAACATTGCATTAAATATAATCATATTGCCTCAGAAAACTCAACTGTTTGACATGACAGCAAACATAAAAGATATGAAAGTGACAGACACAGAAGTGAAATCTCAACCTCACAAAACTGAGGTACAGTACAGAAGGAGGGAAACCGAGACAATCATGCTTTTGACCCAATAATAGTGTACCCTGGGTATTCGACTTCTCTCTGGAACTGTGTGAATGTCACCAGCTTCCCTGTGATCTTTCTGCAAGACACACAAAGATAGTGAGTAATAAAGTTTCTGGGTCTGTATAAAGGGTTCTATTGTGTTTTAACTGGTTTTGCCATTGTGTCTCACCTCTGCCTTGTATTTCCTGTAATCATTCCTGAGTTCCTCTTGCAGTTTGTGTTTCTTCCTCTCATATTCCTCTCCGAGTTGCAAACTTACTCCATCTACATAATGAAATTTCACATACACACCTTTAAAACCAGGTATCCATATAACAGAAATTGATTTACAACCATATTAAATTGCAAACAAAGCTGTACCTTGCTGGCTTGTGCGTGGAGGGATGTTCTCTTTCTGGAGAACCTGGCCTGTCCGCCTCTGATACATTAATATTTAACAACATTAAAATGAAGACCAGTCACACACATTCTCTTTATCCCCATCATTAACTCTCTCTCACCCTCATCTCCATGTAAGGGGGCTCCTGTTCCAGACATGCCTTCTCCTCGGCTATCTTCAATTTCTGATCTTCCAGAAACTTCTCCAATACCCCATCCATCTGGAACACATACTAAATATTAATGCAAAGCAGATCTAACATAAACTGCAGTTCTACAGCGCCACCTGTAGATACATATTATTTTACATAATACCAGGAACACTTTACAGTAAGGTCCCATTATTTAATGTTAGTTAGTGCATGCACTAAAGTTAACTAACAACAAGCAATAAAGTTTTGGTTACACTTTTTTATTTTAAGGTGTCCTTGTTACAGTGTAATTATACATTTAAGTTCTGAGTAATTTTATTTATGTATTTACTGTATGGTTAGGGTTAGGATTATGGTTTGGCTTAGGGTTACTTGCATGTGTAATTATGCATAATTTATTGTTATTACTAAAGTAAGTACATGTAACGTGTAACAAGGACACATTCAAATAAAGTGTTACCACAGTTTTTACAGTATTTGTTAATCTTTGTTATTTAATAATATTGATTAATACAACTTCTGCTTTTAATATGGCTTTAGAAGTAGTTTTTGTAGTTAACAAATGGAAACTGTAGTGTTACCACAATATCTATTATGTATCTTTATTTATAGGTGCAAAAAATAGTTCGTTTTTACAATGAAAATAAGAGAAAATAAAATAAAACACAATAAGCAAGTAATACATAAAACAAGTGGTATATGCAACAAATTTTACCTTTTCTAACTTAATATTTTTCAGACATTTTAGGTGAGGTGTCCAAATAACTTACTTATGAACCACCCTTACAAACAATTACCACGCTAACCGTTTATGCCTCCACACCATGACAAACGTGCACGTTACACACCTCTCTGAATTTCTTCTGGTGTTAAACTCAGTTTAATCTTCTCTGAACACATCTGATCTTCCACTACACAAAACAATAATTTCATCAGATCACATCAATATTAGGCATGCTAATAAAGTTACTGAAATGCGTTGTTTATTTACTAAATCTAAGGTGTTATCTGATACAAACTCTATTCCGAACTAATAATCCCAACAGAAAATGTAGCCTACTGTCCTGGTTTCTTTGGGTAAAGATAATAAATGTGTCATCTGATATCTGGATCTGTTCATAAATTGGAAATAATCCATGTTTTAAATGAACTGTATATTTATCCAATATGTTAATCGGTTCATAATCGGATCTCTTGTAAGGTCACAGCGAACAGAAACAGAGCTCCGCTATTATTGCTCTCTTCCAGTCTTCCTGTCTTTCACTTCCTCTCTTCCGCTATTCCTCTTTTCCTCTCGCAGCTGCTGATTTATATAACGCATGGATAGGCAGAAGCGGAAAAGGCTGCTCGGTCGTGACGTTTTGGGGCCATGGGTTTAAAATTGAGGTTTTAAAAATAAATAAAAAGAAAATCAATTAAATTTCGCTCTGTTCATTTCACAAAATTAGGTATTATTGTGTAAAAAATGATCGTGTTTTTCTTCGGAAAATAAACATAAAATTATTTATGTTCTCAATTGTTTGTTCAATGTTTAAAATGCATCACAGGAGAATCCTGTCATTTTTTTCCTGAACATTTCCTCTACATTACATTTATGTATTATGACGTTCTGTAACGGAGATTACATTTTAAACATTTTTTTTTTTAAATCACTAATTAGTCTAACAAGACATAAGTCACACTCTTTATGAACATTGTTTGCATAATTCATTAATAAATTGATGATTTATTGGAAATTACTTATAATAAGAAAATTCTCTTTAAAGATGACAAGTAATTCTGTCATTTTTCTGAAGGTTAAGAACATTTCCTCCACATAACATTTTGTAATGGGAATTGCAATTTAGACTATTTTCAGATATGGCCAACTTCATTTCAAAACTAGTTTTGGTAAAAAAAAAAAAAAAAGATAATTATCTCAACTATTTAATAATTTAATTGATAAATATTAGATCACATTATAATAAACAATATTATTTGCTATAGCTTATATAACTTAACATTATATATATATATTTTTTTTTCAGCCTGTGGTCGTCTTCTGTGAGAAAGAGAAAGAAACAATGTATGAAACAGTGTATGTTTATGTATCTAAAACAACTGCAGTTTATTCTCACGCCCATGTAAAGATTGTAAAATAGTAAATAAACACAACACAACCTTTGGCCTTCTTTGTATTGTGGTTATTGTAGTTTTGTTAAAGTCACTTTTGATATTTTATCGTAAGAGTCGTCCCGGTCGGTAGTAAACAAATATTGCATTTCGTAAATAAAAGAAAACCCAAACATTTTTGTATAATATTAGAATACGTTTTAATCATTTTTTAAAAATAATGTCGTTAGAAGACCTCTAGACCTGTGACGGTTAAGAACTTCATCTCCCAACATGCCTTGCGCTACCCATAGGTCACATTGTGTTACAGAACCGCTTCCGTGTTGTGTTTGTTACTGGAAAACAGAAACTGCGTGAGGTGACATAATTTTCTCTCGCCCGTGACTGATTAGACAGCGATGCTTTTGTAAACCGCTGCGTCAGAAGAGATATTAGATTGGACTATGTCGTTGATTCCGGGCTCAAAGCAGAAGGACAAGCGCATTTTATGCGGGATGTGCCCGGACCCGCAGTGCCAGGCGAAGCTCTTCTTTCCCGCACACACCTCCATGAGCATCGAGTGCACTGAATGCGGCCAGAGACACGAGCAGAAGAACCTCGCGAATGTGGAGGAAGTGACTGACCCAGATGTAGTGCTTCATAATTTGCTGAGAAATGCTTTGCTGGGTGTGCCAGGCCCTCCTAAAAAGGGCTCCGAGCTGGTGAAAGTGATGGGACTGTCCAACTATCACTGCAAGCTGCTGTCTCCCATCCTCACCCGCTATGGTATGGACAAAGAGACAGGCACTGCCAAACTCTTGAAGGAAATGAACCAGGGAGAGATCTTTGACTGCTCGCTTCTTGGGGGCCGTGCTTTTCTCATCGAGCAAGAGCATGTGTCCACTGTTGGGTATGGACGGGACCGGTCAGGGAGCTTGATCTACCTGCATGACACTTTGGAGGAGATCAAGAAAGCAAACTTAAATAGAGAGTGTCTTATTCCCGTGCACGTGGATGGAGACGGTCACTGCCTGGTCCATGCTGTGTCCAGAGCGTTAGTTGGACGTGAGCTCTTCTGGCATGCCCTTCGAGAAAACCTAAAACTCAATTTCAAGCAGAACCTCGACTGCTATAAAACCCTTTTTCAAGACTTTATAGATGCCGCAGAATGGGAAGACATCATTAATGAGTGTGACCCATTGTTTGTCCCTCCAGAAGGCGTTCCCTTGGGGCTTAGGAACATTCACATATTCGGCCTGGCGAATGTACTGCACAGACCCATAATCCTGTTGGACTCCCTGAGTGGCATGCGCAGCTCGGGCGATTACTCCGCCACCTTCCTGCCAGGCCTGGTTCCAGAGGAGCAGTGCAGAGGAAAAGATGGCACTCTGAACAAACCCATCTGCATCACCTGGAGTAGCTCTGGCAGAAATCACTATCTACCCCTAGTGGGCATCAAGGGCTTGCCTTTGCCCAGTTTACCTGCTGCACTGCTCCCGAAAGCATGGGGTGTTCCTCAAGAGCTGATTCGCAAATACGTGAGCTTGGACTCCAATGGAAGCTGTGTGGTCGGCGGCGACCGGAGCCTGCAGGATAAGTACCTGCTGCGGCTCGTAGGCGTGATGGAGGACGTCTTCATGGACAAGCACGGCATCCACCCCGCTCTAGTCGCTGATGTCCACCAGTATATATACCGACGCACTGGAGTGATCGGCGTGCAGCCGGAGGAGGTGACGGAAGCGGCTAAGAAATCCGTTCAGGAGGGTCGTCTCCATCGGTGCCTTGTCTGCAACGCGCTTTCGGAGCTCCACGTCCCAGCAGAGTGGCTCATACCGGGAGGGAAGCTCTACAACTTGGCCAAGTCGACTCACGGGACGCTGCGGGTGGACAAGAACTACAGCTTTCCTTTAAATAGTTTGGTTTGTTCCTATAACCCAGAAAAAGATGTGCTGGTGCCCGACTACAAACTCAGCTCACTCACGGCCTGCACCTGGTGTCACGGTACTTCAGTGCGACGCGTTCATGGCGACGGCTCCGTCGTCTATTTGGACGGAGACCGTACCAACACTCGCTCACAGGGTGGGAAATGTGGCTGCGGGTTTAAACACTTCTGGGAGGGGAAGGAGTACGACAATCTTCCTGAAGCCTTTCCCATAACTCTGGAGTGGGGGGGCCGTGTTGTGCGAGAGACCGTTTATTGGTTCCAGTACGAAACGGATCCGACGCTCAACAGCAATGTTTACGACGTGACGATGCGACTTGTCACGAAGCACTTCCCTGGAGAGTTCGGCAGTGAGATTCTAGTCCAAAAAGTGGTGAACACCATCTTGCATCACACCGCCAAGAGGAGCCAAGATGAATACATTCCAGTTGCCATCGAAGGTGCTCATGTGCAGGATGGGAGAGATGGGAGCGAATCAGCCGCTCACCCTCCTACTAAAATCATCCTGACGGGACAGAAGGGCAAAACCCTGCATAAAGAAGAGCTGGTGATGAGCAAAACCGAGAGGGTCTTGCAGCATAGCATCAGCGAGCAGGCGGCCTTGTCCCAGCGCCGTAGCACAGACCGCTTGCGACAGCAAGATCCTCGCCCATCATCTCCTTCCTCTTCATCATCCTCTGCTCCTCCCACACCCACCAAAGTGCCACCTACCAGTGGAGAGAAGAAGATACGTGTAACGACCAGCGACGGACGGCAGGCCATGCTTACGCTGCAACCGCACACCACCTACGGTGAGCTCCAAAACTCCATCGTCCAGGTCTTCAACTTGTCGCCCGGACAGCTGTGCATCCGACACGGCTTCCCACCCAGAGAGCTGCCCCCGCCGCGTCCCGAGGACCAGAACCAGCCCGTGGCGCTTCAGCATGGCGACCGCATCTCTGTGGAAGCGCTGAAAGAGAGCTCGTCCGATACTCACATGACCCAGACGCACTCTCACACGCCTCAAACGCACGCTCACTCTGACCCACGACTCAGCAGCACCAGTAGCAGGGAACTTCAGGACAACATTGACCTTGAGATGTCATCACTGTGTCTCCTGGCAGCACTTATGGGTAAGACACACCCAGTTGTTATAGATCTGCTTTATGAGGAGACTGTGTCATACTAGAATCAACACTTACTTAAGTGTGTCTGTGACTCGCTGGATTGTATGATACAAGCCTATTTATGTAATTTACGCATCAGGATGATTCTTCTATTATTTCAGATCATGTTTGAGTAATTATTGATTACTAAACAAAAATGAAACTCTAATGGTTAATGGTAAACAATGTGTGTGAGACATGTCTAATTAATTTGTTTTCTCTTCTCCTCTCTCTTGTTCTTTTTCTCTCAGGTGAAGATGTCTGGTCATATGCCAAGAAACTGCCTCACCTGTTCCAACAAGGAGGAGTCTTCTACAATATTGTGAAGAAAGACATGGGTAATCTCTCTTTTTTCACTTTCTCACACACAATTTGAATTGGTTTTTCAAAATGTATAATTGTGCTTGGCACAACAAAGACTGTATGCGTTGCCCAAAAGCATTTGCAGTAACACTGTATTGTGACGGTGGGATTTGAGAACCACTTCTTATTTAGAACTGTTTTTATTTTCTTAAAAATACAGAATGGTTTATGATTTGTGGTGTGGAAGTGGCCCTCTGTTAATCCAGACTTTTGTTTGCTCTGCCACTGCTTGAGAGAGGCAATGCAGTGGAGTTAAATATAATTTAATTTAGATTAACTGTACATGCCCAGTAGTCAGAGAAAAGCGGTGAAAAGCTACTATTTTGCGATTTTAAATGAGGATTTTTTAATTTCATATAATTTAACTTTTTCTTTACAAATTAGACTATTAGTTTAACAATTGAGTTAAAAGTTGAATTGAAAAATTAACAAATTTCAGAATGTCTTAGTGTTTGGTTTGTCCCTCTTTTTGCTTTAATGTAGCTCAAGCAGTAGAGTTGCAAGGGTGTATGTTTGATTCCCAGGGAATGCAAGAAAAATTATAAACGTGTACCTTGATTGCAGTGTAAGTCGCTTTGGATAAATGTAAATGTTTGATGACAGCAGGACTCAAGCTGCATAAACTGATGATCATGTTTCCCAGCATGAAATAAACTTGTGCTTCACTAGATTAAAGAACATCTAACCTTCCGATTCTGAGTTCAACTGGTCATTGTCACAAACATATTTAATTTAATGTGACCTAGAAATAATCTGAAATATTTCTTTTTCAACTTATTTTTTTTAAATCTTAACACAAATGTATGATGATATGCCTACTAAGCCCAAAATATCTTTTATTGCTTTTTCTGGTTTTATGTCTTTTCTTTTTTCTTTCTTTTTTTTTTTTTTTTGGTGTTGCTATTCCACATTGTGGTACCTTTTTTTTTTTTAAAGAACTCCCATTATTTTCAGCAATTCTGTGTATATTTGTTTTATAAGTAAAATTATTATTATAATGCATTATATACATATATATATATATATATATATATATTCAGTGAATATTGTTATAACTATTTAGGAATATTATTAACATTTGTAAAATGAAATTGACAATATGAAAACTTATTAAATTGATTGTATCATCCACCTCTACGCAGACAATGAGAAACTGTGCTAATAATCTCTATTTCTGTGTTAAGGTCTGTTGGACGGGAAGCACTGCACACTGCCCCATTTGTCGGGCAAGACGTTTGTGTTCAATGCTGCGGAGGGGCGTTTGGAGCTGTGTGTGGACACAGCCGGTCATTTTCCATTGGGCCCTGATGTGGAGGAGCTCGTCCAGGAGGCCCTTTCCCAACTCCGCTCAGATGCAGCCTCCCATAGCCACGAGGGAAGCCCCGCCCACGGCCTGCGATTGGGCGCCGGCGGTGCAGTACGCAAGAAAGAGCAGACCGTCATGGCCTTCCAGGGCAAAGGTCACTCATTGGGTTCCGCCCCTCCAGAACACCAACCAATCAGGCGGCAGCACAGCAGCGGCGTCGATCTCAGTAACAGCGCTCGCAGTGAAGATATAACATTGTCAGGGGAGGAGTTGGTGCGCGTGGCCCCGGGCATGCTCACTTTACGCGAGGGCCCCGGTTTGGGGCTGGAGCCCGCCGTTATCGAGGCCCAACGGCAGCGTCTGCAGGAGATGGTCTCAAACATACAGGCGTCTATGGACAAACACTTGCGCCAACACGCTGCAGCAAGGCATGATGTGAAGGAAGAAGAGGCTCCTGACAAACAGGAGGATATGGAAAGTCACGGTGCGGAGCCTCCCAGCACCTTTGAACCCATGGACCAATCTTGATACTTCATTATCCGTATAGCAGAGTGAGCTTCCTGGCATTACACACATATACACACACTGTGATTCAACTAACAAATAATGGTGCAGCCGATTTACTGACATATGCGTCTTTTGAGTGTGAAACGCATTCGTTAAATATTCTCGAAGTCTTAAGATGTGAAATTTGGAGTGATTATTACAGGAATTGAGTGTCGGCTTTCATTCACCTAAATATAAACATGGTGCACACTGATTTAAAGAGACAGTTCAACTAAAATTGAACATACTGTTATTCATTTACTCACTGTCATGTCATTCCAAACCAATGGCTTTTTTCTTCTTCTGTGGAACACAAAGAAGATATTTTGACTGTTTCTGTCCATATAATAAAAGTCAGTGGAGTCCAAAAAAACATTGGACCCAAATGTCGTCTTTTGTGTTTTGCAGAAGAAAAAAAAGTCAGAATGACATGAGGGTGAGCAAATGTTGACAGAAGTTTCGTTTTTGGTTGAACTAGCCCTTTAAGATCACCCTTGAGCTTTGCTAGTATCCACATAGTACTTAAATAATCAAAGTGCACTTTGACCCTCATTGCTGGGTTCACGGCTTTCTTACCAATTTAATAATTCACAATCCAATTTGAAACACTGACTGTCTCACTGAGTCCAAACTTCAGCCCTGCGTCTGTGTGCACTTAGTAGGTAACAGGGTCTCCTTGATCATATTTTGTGTCCTCAACACAGTTCTGACCTGTGGAACAAACAGGGCTTCTCTACCCACAATTCATTGCTGTCTATCCAAAGAGCACTACGCGGTAAAAGCCTGGAAACGAGTTCCAGCAGGATTTCACGTTTACTTCATCGTCCCACTACACACTTAGAGCACAGAAACCTCTCTCAGCAGATCAGCATGGAGTATCCATACATCTGAGAACGAGTTTCTGTTCTGTAATCTCAGATTGGCCTTGTCAGCGTTGCCTTCAGTGTGGCCCAGGCTTGTTATTTGATTTTGTTGTACCGTTTTGCATGTCCTTTCTTCTATAAACATTGTTCAGTACAAGACAATTCATACACTTAGTATCGGAATGTAATGTACTAGATTCTGGCAAAATCTTCTCTTGGAAAATCTTAACAGAAAGTAGCCGAGTGGGTGATATTTTCAGGATATTCTGATTCAGCGCTGTAGTAATATTGTTACCTGTGTGTTAGGCCATACTAATATGCTGAAGTAGAGGGCAATGTGCATCAAGGACGGTTTAAGTGTTTTCTTTTGAGTTCAGAAAAAAAACGATATCCACATTCTGTTCTAGACAGATTTTTCTTGTCACCTTGGCAACTGATTCATATAAACCAAAAAATTTTTTTTTAAAGTTTACAATTAAACAGATTAATAGAGCTGTTAAGCTTTGTGCTTCAGTAACTGGGTATAGCATAAAACAGATGGAAAATCCTAGAGATTGTGTTGAACTCATATCTATTGAAACGTTGCTGAGCTGTTCTATTTAGCCCGGTGTTGCCAAAAACAGGTGGTCAAACCTGTTGTTAACAGCCTTAATGAGTCTTTTACCCTCCCCTCCCCTGCTCTGATCTGCAGTGTTTGTGCGTGACACACTTCCGTATGACAGGATCTGTTCTGAGAAGGATAAACTGGAGAATTGGAACGAGGCCTGACTTTGGTCCAAGGCCGAGCATGATGATGTTGGAGGCTTGATGAGCTTTTGATTTTAAAAGATTGTTTTTTTTATTTTTAAGTCGACAACATCTATACCAGAGCACTTTTCTGTGTGGACGTGTTTATTAGCTCTTGAACATAATTGATATTGTTGGTGTAAAGAGCAGCACATAAGAAATATTTTACTGCTTCATGTAACAGACTCAAGCGCAGGTTGTTTCTCTGTGACTGCTGCCCTCCTGATATATTATATTCCAGTGTACAATAGTGGTATATATTGTATTATACTTTCATCTGTACAGATATTGAATCTGTTTTTTTTTCCCTTCTGGATTGTTTCTCCTGTTTTTCAATAAAACAGTTGGATGATTCTACGCAGCTGAGGAATCTGCTGTTTGCATGCTTGATTACTTTTCAGCCTAACAACAATAAAGTTATTCCATCTGTATGAAACGATGTGATCGCTTTTTCTGAATCACTTTCTAATGCAGTTTTCTATTATCACTAATATATAGGTCACTAATTGACCACATCAATGTGAATTAGTGGTAATACTACTAGGCCTTTAAGATTTTATGTTAACATTTAATTTTATGTTAACATTTAATTTCATGCTAACATGAAATAATGAACAATGCTTTCTATCTTGAGTGATGTTAAATTAAAAAAACTTTGGGTTAGTAAGACTGTTTTTTTTTTAAGAAGTCTTCTTTGCTCGCCAAAGCTGTATTTTTTTTTATCTAAAATTGAGTAAAAACCATAATATTGTGATATTAAATTAAAATTTTAAATACCTTCTCTATTGTAATACATTAAAATGTAACTTATTTCTGTTATTAAAAAAACCCTATATTTTTAGCATCATTACTCAAGTCTTCAGAGTCACATGATCTTTCAGAAATAATTCTATGATGTTGATGTGGTGGTCAAGAAACATTTCTTATTATCACTGTTGAAAACAGTTGCGCCACTTAATGTAAAAAAAAAAAAATCAGGATTCTATAATTAACAAAATTAACAGCATTTACTTGACATATAAATGTTTTGGAACATTATAAATGCCTTTACTGACATTTTGATCAATTTAATGAATGCTTGCTTAATAGAAGTAATTACTTTAAAAAATTTGCTGAGTGTATACTAATACATTTTTTAGATTTTTGGTTGTAAAAATAAATGTAACATTAAAGGGGTCATATGATGCGATTTAACTTTTTCCTTTCTCTTTGGAGTGTTACAAGCTCTTGGTGCATAAAGAAGATCTGTAAAGTTGCAAAGACTAAAGTCTCAAATCCAAAGAGATATTCTTTATAAAAGTTAAGAGTCAGCCACACCTACCTAAAATGGCTCGTTCTAACACACACCCACATGTCTAGATGTGGGAAGATTTGCATAACGCCACACAAATGTTCACGTACATTTTTTATATTTAAAGAATTTGCCACTGATGATTCAAACGCGAGTTTTGAGCAGTGTAGAGTAGCGCTTGTTGTTTGTCATTTCTCCGATCACAAATACAGACATGGTTTTATGTTTACGCGGCGCTGCAACGCACCGCGTAAAAAGACAGTATAAGTCATTATAATCCATAATTATGTCCCTACTGGATGCAACGGATGCCTCGTTTATAATGGGTTTTCATGTTTTTAACCGCATAAACACATTTCATACCACACCAAATACACAAATAATGTTCTTTTTAGCAACATCATATGGCCCCTTTAATGTTTTACAAAAGAATGTGAAGTAAATAGTACATGTATTGCTATTAACTTCAGTAAATTCTGTAGAAAATTGGTCATTGTTAGTTCATGCAACATAATGCATTCACAAATTGAAACTAACTGTACTGCATTACCAAATTAGTGTTGATATTTTTCTCCTAGTTAAGCTTGATGAAGTGATGATGATTATAGTCAGGTTGTGAATTACAAAATTGACTTTTCATTTCATGAAATTTTGCAGCTGTATGCCAATGTCCTCTAAATATAAGCTAAAAAGCCCATCAAAAATTAAGGGTAAACACCATAATTTAACAGTATTCATACCATAAAAAATTACAAACTTGGAAAAAATTCATTAACAATATTAATAGTTTAGTTTAGATACTTTGTGGTATGTTATGGTCTGAGGTGTGGTTGAAATTACATTGATATATCATTTTTATGTAATGTACAGAATTTAAAAAAACATTCAGGGTCAAAAAAAATAAATAATAATGTTGCTCTTAAAATGGAAATCTAAATTTACACTCCAAAATATTCTATAGTACTTCCACTGTAAATGGATTTCTGTAAGCACATTGTTTTTCTGTGTTTTTATAAATTGTAATACATCAAAATAATTTTCTCTGGTAATCAACTTATATAAGACTCTTTAGTAGATGTACTTTTTTGGGTTGATATTAACTTTGGCAACACTAGCATTTTAATATAAACATTGCATATATATATATATATATACACACACACACACACATTTATAAACTAACAACAATTTCTCATTGTAGTCTTTCTGCATTATTAGTCAAAACAGATACATATATTCAAAATTCAAATACGTTCATAGGCGAAGAGTGTGATATTTCCAATCAAAATCACAATATTTACATATTTACATAGGGCAGTAATAGTAAAGATTCCTGATACCAGTTGCAGGCTCAGTGCCACAAACTGGCTATGAAGTTACTGAGGCCCCAAACTAATCAGGACACTGAACTTCTGTTTTCTCTCCAAATCTGAAGGAGTTGCATACAGACTGAACTTTGGTGTCATACTGTCCTAGTTTCTGCTGTTCTGTGACCCATTTAGAAGAGAAAGGTGGAGCTCTAGGGTTAGATCCATCAGTCAGGATGAAACGCAGGATTGATGGAGCCGATCGAACGTACAGCATGTCCATCACTACGTCGACGAGAGAGCAGTCGCTGAAGTAATCGAGGTGAACCCGGCACTCCTGACAGAGACGCTCGCCGCGGCAGTTTCAGAGAGCGCTCTCTAGAAATACAAACATCAGCCATCACACAACACCACAAAAACAAATCAGAGTTACACAATATCGTAATACTCACCTAGAACAGCCACTCCGATCATTAGATGACGCTTGCGTGAAGTTTTGCGATGCCTGAGTCACAATGGGCCTCAATGGCTCCTGCTTCTGCACACATATACACATTTATTACACTTTAACATATAAATGTTAGATTCTTAAAAAAAACATTGTTTTAAGACAGGTAATTATATATTTGGTTGTAGTGTGCCAGTAGGAAATATTAATTTGAGGTTTACCATTTGTTTTTAATGTTCCAAGCTTCTTGGAGAAATTTGTATCTAGGATACCTCAGTTTGCAAATGATAATGTCCCACTGGCACACTAAAGCAAACGATAGAAATAAATCATCTTAAAATGAATGTTGTAGAAACAAATGATGTAGAAATCCTTTCTAGAAGACAAGAAGCTGTTATAGCAGCAATGGGAGCACCAACCTCCTATTAACCCTTATGGAAAAGAAGTGTGCTTAAATTAAAATAAAAAATTCTTGCAGATATAATATTAATGAAATAATAATTTCCGTGCCTAACAACGCCCCTTAGCCGTTATAAATTCACTGTAAACCACGGCTTCTTGGGGCTTATTGCTTTATTCTTCCACCAAACAATGTAGTTCCTCAGAAACAGTTGTGGTTCCAACAAAGTGGTTGCCGAGCAACACACAGAAGTAAACAAAGGTGTATGTTTGTAGTGTAATTTACAACAGCTTTGAACGCGGCTCAACCAATCAGAATCAAGGACCGAAACTATCCGTTTTATAAGTACAGTTAAATCATGTTTTACTAATCTTTTGTAAAGTACTTGATTATAATGTAACTGTAGTGTATTTGTGGATATTATATTTAAAGTTAATATATTTTAAATGTACTAATCTTCAAGTTTATCATTACAAATGTGCATTTAGAACATGATTTAGAAACATATTTAAGATTATACCATTCAAGTTTCGATAGAAATTACTTTAAAATATATTTTAGTTTACCAAAAATACTTGCCAGTACATGTTGCAGTACACTTTAACCATTTTTCAAAGACAACAGAAGTATTTATGCAATTACATAAAAACAAGTCCTACTTATAAGGCACTATTAAGTTCAAATAATTGTGTTTAATATCAATTTAAACTATAAAACATTTTCATATAATTGCATATAACTTGCTATTAACTGTCAAAAAACATAACATTCAGTTTGCCCCTAAGTATATTATTTTAAACTATATTATATCCTGAATGAGTACTCTTTTTAAAAGTGTGCTACAGTATACTTTTCACAAAGGGAACACACATGGTTTTGAAGTGAAATACACAGCACGTGTGTGCTTTAGGCCATGTAGTGTATCATTTGTGCATTGTGCGTGTTCGTATGCATGAGCACCGTAGTGAAGCAGGCTGTGGGAAGGTATCCTTCCTTTCCATTCTGAAGTCGGGCGTAACACCAGTCGGCATTCTCCTGATACAGAAGCAACACCACCTCACCGGCACGGACACACAGCTCTTCATCACAGTCTGCACTGTAGTCTGCCGTCACAACCACCTCACACACACACAAACATATTTTATCTTCACCATCGGCTCTGTAGTTTAAACCACTGTATATGATGCTGCAGCTCAAATGAGAAAATGTGTTACCATTTCTCCTTGGTGCTTGAATATCACTCTCTTCCGACAAACTGAAAGATTTAATAATTTTGCTATAATATTTGTAAATTAAACAGAAATTATATAAAAAGTGAGCAAGAAAAGATGACTAACCTTGAGGCGACAGTGGTGAACACCTCAAACTCTTCATGGTTCTGTGTGTAGATTTGCTGCATGATGAAGTCAGACAGCACACAAACTGCAAGAAGAACGGAGACACTTTATTCAGAATCACTGCTGTTGCTAAATCTTCTCCCCACTTTAAATACTCTCTTTTACGCACACACATTACAAGATCTTAGTTAGGTGCTTTTCTAGGAAACATCAGCACTCTTAAATCTATTTAAATCTGTTCCACTTCAGTTAATTGTTTAAATGCTGCAGGTCATAGCCCTGGCCAGCCAATCACACGCTTCTAAAAGGCAACTCTATGCACTTAGAGAAATTCACTCTCACCATTAACACATAACACTACACATCCTACACCCAGTTCTTTAACAAAACAGGTTACTACATAGAAAATGTTCTGTATGTCAAAAAACAAACAAACAAGAAAATTGTTAATATTTTCATATTTCATACATTTTATTAGTCAACAGTAAGAAATATGTGAACAGGTATTCTGATCTCATAATATTGCACACCATAATCTATATACTCTATTAAATTCCGTTTTTAATGTTTCTAGCTCCATTTCAAATAAAATCATAAGAATGTAGAGATTATTAATATGAGTGAGATACAAGCCCACATTCATAGAGAAAATATGATGACATCTGTATTTATTAATATTTCTATCATTTTCAGAACTTAAAATCCTATAAGGGTTCCTCACTTCAGATGAACATTTCAGGATGAATCCATTATGCATTAATCAATTTTAATTCATAACTGATTTAAGAAATAAAAACAACTCAAATGAAAAACAATGTTTCTTAATAGATTGAGTCTAATCCTGATTCTTAAACAAGGCTCATTTAAATCCAACCCGCCTAAATCACTCTGATTAACAAACCAGCCTTAATAGTAAGAGTGAATGGAGAGTATGCATACTGTGTGTGTGTGTGTGTGTGTGTGTGTGTGTGCAGGGTGGTTTAAATATATTACCATGATAATTATGTTTAAACATGTTGACAACACATGAAACGCATGTATGTGTCATATTTAGATTGGTGTGCAGAATGCAGTATCTGATGGGGACTGTTACTGTCTGTGCTTTTCTTGCTCAGGACAGTGACATCACTGAAAGGATTAAAGGTCAGTGAGGTCAGATTGTTGAGATCAGTGTCTCTGCTTACATAATGAAATCAGCACAGCTAATTAGAGGCTGTGCTTCTGAGAACCCCGTCAATGTGTGCAAACATCCTGTAGTTTTCTCTTCAGTAGAGCTTCATGGATGCTGCAAACAGAGCGGTCAGTTCCTCTTCAGTGTGAGCTCGAGGAGACCGTTTAGTTACCCGCTCCTGTCAAACATACACAAACAAACTCAATTAATCTCTCTGAAATCATTTTAACACACTATATAATGTGATATTAACTGGTAAGCATTGGAGCATTGCATTTTAAGCTGGGGCTATTAAACATGAATATAGTACCATATTAATGTATGTACATCCTTTGTTATGATGCTAAAATTGTGAAGTCATTAAACTAAGCATTAATGATATAGCTTGTGCATTGCATTTTAATTATACTTCATTCAATTTAATGTGAGGGACAATAAAAATTTGCTTCTCAATTTTATCTTTGGTTGAAATTTAGCATATATTTTCTTTTTTTTCCTGAAGAATTAGTTTGAGATTAAACAATAACTGGCAGAGCCACAGTTAAATCCTCTGAATGACATAATAATTATGTAATAATTTAATATTTACTTACTTTTATATATGTATTGTTTATATGGGTGTAATACATTCATATATTATACTAATGTAACATTATTTATTATTTAAATACAACATCAACAATTAATATGAATTAATAATCATAAATATAAAATTACAAATGTTAAATAATAATTATAGTTATTATAGCTATTCTTTCTCTCTATTAAACAGTCACTTCAGCTGAAGGAGTTCAGCCCTTTAAACTGCCGTATTTCTCTCATTCTCGGGTGATTAAGCTGCTTGACGGAGCAGAATTTCAGCTTTCAGCAAAAAATGATCTCTGTAGCGTTTTTAGTACAACGTCGTGACGTGATGTGATATGTTGACCTGAGGGATGGTGCCCTTCACCAAAGATGGAATGTCCTCTTTAGTGTAGCCAGTTGCAGACAAGCCATCCTCCACTTCCAGGTTATACAGAAACGATCTGAGAGTGTCGTTCTCACACAGCCAGCATTATCTTTCTTGATGTTACTCACATCAGTACCTTATAAAACACATACACCAACATTAACCATGATCAGTTAAATCATGCAATGTTTCAGTATAGAACTATCTATAAAATGAACTACAGAAAATCTAGTCAATCAAAACATATAATCAATACATACTAAATACGTTTTACACAACAAGCATTTAACGTGCTAAAACGGCAACACACATTAATACATTTCTTTAACAGCTTTTCTGAGATATATTTATACACTACTATGACATACAGTGTTGATATTTGACACAGTTTTTAGTTTAGCCTTCGGTGAATTACCTAGTATTTGTGCTGCCTCCAGGTGGCGCTCAGGACACATATTTGCAGTGAAGGGCAAAAACAGCAGGTGAAGTAAGAACTACAGAAAGTCCATGAGGCTGAAAGAAAACGGCAAAGTAAAACTACAGCGTGAAAAACACTGGGAATCTGCCACAAAGAAAAAAACTACTTTGAAATTTAAAAATCTATGTGTACCAGTACTAGTATTAGTATTACAATGTATCGGAGAACATATAATGTGTGATATTGTGCATTCATTTAGATACACATTATCACTCTAAAGTTTGGAGTCAATAAGATTTTTTTTTATTATTATTTATTAAAGGTTCACCAAGGTCGAGATCAAAAATACAGTAAAAACAGTAATATTGTAGAGTATATTTTCAATTTAAAATAATTGTACAAATTTAAATAACTTTAAAATAATTGTACAATATTTTAAAATGTAATTTATTCCTGTGAACACAAAGCTAAATTTTTGCAGTCATTACTGAGTCTGCAGTGGCACATGATCCTTCAGAAATCATTGTAATATGCTGATTTGGTGATAAAGAAATATTTCATATTTTGATTGTATTATATGTTATTATTATGGAAAACATGACACATGTTCCCAGGAATCTCTGATGAATAGGAAGTTCAAAAGAACATTTATTTGAAATAGAAATCTATTGTAATAATATAATAAATGTCTTTTTTAAGAATTCTTAAAAAAAAAAAAAACTTACTAACCCCAAATTTTTGAACAGTAGCGTAACAGTTTATATTTACCACTATAGGATGTTCTACATTGTAGCCTTTAGCCCTGTGAGTTTTGACATTCCCAGCAATGGGATATGACATTGAACAAAGAAAATGAAAAGTCAGCAACACTTTATCAGATAATTTCCACAAATACATATTAACAGAAAAATAAACTATTGTAAGGAGTCTAAGGACATAACTGTACATCTGACTTTTTCTACTGAATTGAAATTAAAGGCGTGTTATCATAAAAGTGGCCTGTGCCATTACTTACTTTCCACAAAAGCTGTGAGATCTCTACACCTCACAGCAATAAGTTCAGTCCACCTGTGCCGTCTAATGTACACAAATATGAAAATGTTAACAGCGCAGCACTAGTGATTCCATTAGCAGTCTTTTAAGTGTGTTGCGATTGATGCTGCCAAACTCATTACCAGAATCAACTCTTTTTGGATGTTAATTTAATGTTAGTTCTATTTAATTACCATAAATGGACTCCAGCATTGCCAAAGCCAATTCCTGCAAACACACTGGCCAGGTGCATGCTGGAGCGAGCCTCCACATCCCCAGCATCACGCACCGCCCTACAATACACACATTTTCATATCTTAACAATATTACATTTCAGTATAATACTTTGAAAATATATCTAAATAAAAATATCAAGTACCCAAATAGTCAATAAACAACAAAACAAATGACCTAAAAACAGAAACATACTGCTTCAAGTATTTGACAACGATCTTAAGAGCGTGTCTTGCCCAAACATCACTGATTGGATTGCTGCCCTGGTAAACTGGGCGATTGATGGGGTTGGATGGGCAGGGACTCCTTAGGTTATACGGCAAAGCAGTAAATGACTCTAATGTGTGACTAAAAAGAAAACCATTTCAACCAAGATTTAAACCACAATGAATATCATAATCTAAACATAAAAATCAAATATACACACGACCGTTCAAAAGTTTGGGGTTAGTACGAATTTTTTTAAAGTCTTTTTAAAGACAAGGATGCATCAAATTGATCAAAATTGACAGTAAAGACATTTACATTGTTACAAAAAATAGTGATCAAATAAATTCCGCAAAAATATTAACAAGCACAACTGTTTTCAACATTGATAATAAGAAATGTTATTTGAGCACTAAATCAGTATATTAGAATGATTTCTGAAGGATCACATTATATTTATTTTTATCTTTGCTTGCTTGTGAGGTGACCTTGGGTATTTTGAAAGGCGCCATTAAATAAAATGCATTATTATTACATGGAAGACTATTAGCTGCTGAAAATTCAGCTTTGCTGTAACATGAAAAATGATATTTCGTTATATATTAACATTTCTTTTTATTCAAAAAAATGTAAAGTACCAAATTGGAAGATAATAAAGCAGGTTTGAACAGAACAGGCAAAATGTGAAATCCTGCTTTCTGTCAGCATACTTATATTTTCTCACAGATAATGCTGTTATCTTGTTTAGTGATTGCCTTAGTTAGAACATGGTTAATAAATAATGAGTGCATGTAAAAGCACACCAGAGCACATCAAAGCCACTCTTAGCTGCCACTTTGGATGGCATGTGAAGAGTATGTAAGGGATCCACCATCCCCAAAATGGGCTTTAGAGCTTGGTTTGCAATACCTGGAAAGACAAACACATTCATGCGCTAAACAACAAAATTTGGGGCCTCAACACTCAACCTTTCTGAACTCTGTATTTGGAGAACGGTAATAAAATGTTAATGGGTAAAAATGTTTCTGCGAACCAGTTTTGGCCTTCAGGTCCTCAAAGTCAAAGATCGCCACTCCTGTGGTTTCACTCCCCATTCCAGCCGTAGTAG